CCTACAACAGCAAATGGTATATGAAAGCAGTAGTATAGGTTAGGTAGTTTGTGTGTATGTGTTGCCTGTATTTTGTTTGTATGCTCTTTAGTGTACAAAATAATGGGTTTCATAACATTTTAATACATGTGTGATGGAAGATGTCATTCTGTAAATATGTTTCTCTTATTGGTTAATGAGTAAAGCACTGTTGGCAAATAGGAACACAAGATAGGCGGGACTAGGAGACAAGGAGGATTCTGGCAGAGGTAGTGGAGGAGAGTCAAGATGTAGGGACTTGAGAGGAAGAGGTCTGGACACTCTCTCCGGTAAGATAAGACCATGTGGAAACATTTAGATTAATAGAAAAGGGTTAATATTTAAGACAGAGCTAGCCAGTAAGAAACGCTAGTAACAGGCCAACAGCTTTGTATCTAATACTGCAATGGCAGTGACCACATCTCCAAACCAGCAGCATGCTGCTGGATGGCAGCATAGACCATGGCAGTGAGCACAGCTCTCAGTGCTAGTGGTAAACGAACCCAAGCCATCTTAGATAGATCACAGCTAAAACAGCTGTGACTTTCACATAAGGAATGTTGTTTAGCAGATAAAAGACTCGTGGCCAGAAAAAGATTAAAGATTTACAGTAAAGACAGATATAGATTAAGAAAAACCTCTAAATGTCTACAATGTGTTTTAAAATATACATGAGCTTAGGAGAGAAAAAGAAACAGGATAAAGTGGTTTAAAAAAATAGAACATAAAATAGAAAAATAGAAAGAGAGTAGCTGGGTATGGTGGCACACGCCTTTAATTCCAGCACTTGGAAGGCAGAGGCAAGTAGAGCTCTGTGATTTCAAAGCAAACCTGGTATACAGAGTTAATTAATTGCAGGACAAGCAAGAGTTACACAGGGAACCCTGTCTCAAAAGTGAATAGGAAAAAAAAAAAAAAAAAAAAAAAAAAAAATAGAAGTAGAAGAAATAGAATGAATAAGCCACGAGAAGATGGAAAATACACTGAGAGTCTGGATGCTGTATGCTACTGTGTTGTCTTTGAATTGCTCAATTGCTAAGAAAGGAACAACTGCTAAAATACACTTGATTATCAATGCTGCGAAATTAATCCAATTTATATATTTTAAAAATGCTTTGACTTAAAAATTTAAGTCTAAGGACAGGTTACTGGAGAAAAGAATTTCTAATTTTGGTTCCACAGAAAATGCAAAGCTGTGGATTCCTTCCAGACTAACATGGTGTGATCAAGCAAGACCCTCTGAAGCAGTGTACCAGGTGATCCAACATTCAAAACAGCAGAGACAAGGCAGCCTTGCAGACTACAGCCAGGATTTCTGCATCTTCTTAGGATCCCCAAGACAGCGGTCCCTACCAGCAAGAAGCAGTTTGGAAAGAAGGACAACAAAAATCTCCCCCCAAAACCCCAATATTTCTGTACACATCAACCCTTCATAAATTACTTACAAAACATAATACAATGTAAATGCTATGCAAATGCTTGCTATATTTTATTGTTTGGGAAATAATAAAAAATGTTTATAGATCTTTCATATTGAAGCAAATTTTCAAAAATATTTTCTATCACTAATGGTTAAATCTGTGTGTATACAATTCAAAATTTCTGAAAACGCTTTCATCTGATGTCTCAATGACTGGTCCAAGGGACAGAAACTTATCTGAGTTTATATATGGAAAAGTGAGTTCACTGAACCAGTGCTCTGGCTGCCTAACTCCCCCTACTTCCTAGTAAACAGAGAACCTTCCACTGCCAGATTTCAGTCCTTGTCTGTTAAATTCCAAAGAGATTTTTCTTCTGGTTTTTCGAGACAGGGTTTCTCTGTAGCTTTGGAGCCTGTCCTGGAACTCACTCTGTAGACCAGACTAGCCTTAAACTCACAAAGATCTGTCTGCCTCTGCCTCCCGAGTGCTGGGATTAAAGGCGTGAGTCCAGCCAAAGAGATGCTCAGTGATGACACTGTCACTGGTGCATCCTATTTCTAGACTTATTGTAAGATGTGACTGGGCTCCATGGCTTCCACTGGACAAGCAATTAAGAGATAAAATACTGGTGATACAGAACTGCTGCTAGCTTAGAGTCTGGAGATGAGCTAGCAATTGCAGCAATGTCTCACAATTAAAGAACACACACGTCCGAGAAGGAATGAGAGATGGAAAGGAAGAATGTCGGGATGTGCTCCTGACCCATTAGTCTCTTGCTGTAAAATGCATTTACCGTAGGAGTTTTGCTATAAATTTAAAATACTAAACATCATGAAACACTGAGATAAAATATAAAGTACTATAAAATATAGTCAAAGACAGAAGGAACTAAGGAAGGTTCTGGAAGCTGCAAAGAAGAAAGCACCTTCTTTTTCTTTTATGCTCAATTCCAACTTTTGTGTTACCAGATTCAAACATCATAAGACAACAAGCAGTGAGGCAGACCAAGGGAATCACTTCCTAGCCTTCTGTTAAAACGGCCAAACCAAAAGGAAACTACAAGTGTTCTGGTATGGTGGTTTAGTTCCAGAACTTGGGAGGCAGAAGCAGGTGGTTTTCTATGAGGTTAGCCTGGTCCACATGGCAAGTTTCAGGCTAGCTAAGGCTACATAGTGGGACCCTATTTTTAAAAAAAAAAAAAAAAAAAAAACATCAAAACAAAACAAAAAAGTGCAAGTGCACACTCAGGATTCCATGCAGAAAAACCCTTGGTAATAGTCAACATTTTTTTTTTTAAAAAAATTTTGAGGCCTTATTACTTTTATGCAAGTTGGGAATTGAGATATTGAGATTGGGTTTATATAACACAGGCTGAACTTGAACTCCTTCTGCCTCTACATCCTTAGTGCTGGGAGTGAGCTAATGATACTAGGCTAAGAATTTTTAAGTAGAAAGAGCACACAATAAAACAATCATAAAACTGCAATAAATATATAATCAAGAGACACTGTCTCTTGTTAATAACAAGTTTTATGCACTGTGTGTAACTGTACATGCTCACTTCTTTTGGAACATGATCAATAACTTGTGATTTTTTTCCATGTATTTAAGATTCTTAACTTTCATAAGAAAATAATTTTTTGACTGCAATACTTTTGTTTTAAAGGCATATAAGCATGTATTAGTTATATGAAATGACATTATTATTATATATTACATTTTCATACACATATTTACTCTCTCATTATTCTTTCTTACACTCCCCTCCTACTCTGGTTGATGCTCTTCCTCTTCTCAACTACTACTCCCACCTATATTTATATGTATATTTTTCTTTTTGAGAGCCAATGTGTTTCATTAGGGTTACATACAGAAGCATAAGTAAAGGACTATTTTCAGGAGCATGGACCACTTACCAGTGGCAATACTACTGAAGAAAATGTGTCTTTCTTCCACTGTGATCTTTAACTGCTTTGTTAGATCTCCTTTCTACTTGATGGACTGAATACTCAAGGGCACGATCATGTGCCAGTCTCAGGCAGATGTCCTCAGCCACTGAAAGTTCAGGAGTGTAAAGGCCACATTATACCTGGAAGACAGCCCTCCACTGTATTCTATCTGTTTCTTCTGGTGTCTACATCATCTCCACCCCATCTTCTGCAGTGTTTCCTGAGCCTTGGAGGGGATGATACAAATGAAGTCTTTTCTACACTCTGTCTCAAAAGCTGTACATCCTGGGACAAATAACCATTCCCTTATGACTTCTGATGTGTTCTGTCAAACATGTCCAATAAAGGACATTCAAATGTTCTTGTGTTTGGCTTCTTCAGCCTACAACTGTGTTTAACTATGTTAGACATTCATTTTCTTTTGAGATCTATCTCTTTTCTGTATGTTGTTTTTCTATGAGACTGTTTTGTGTTAACAGTTTTAAAAAGATAATATATACTCCTAATAAGGTTTAACTGTTTTCTTTACGAAGATTTTACCTTATGTCAGTCATATCAATAGTTCTCATGTGGGGCAGGTGAGATGGCTCAGTGATTAAAGGTGCCTAAGACTGAAAACCTGGGTTTGGTCCCTAGACACACATGGTGGATACAGAGAATGGACTCTTAACCAGTTTTCATCTGCCCCTGATCCAAACATGTACAGTCCAAACACACACATGTACATACAAATAAAATAAATAAAATATAAGTGAAATTTTAAGAAACTACAAATGCTATGGGGGAATCTGTATATTCATAACCTAGATTTCAAATTTACCTAGCTAAAGTGCTTCCTAGCAGATAAACACTTCCAAAATATTGAAAAAAAAAATAAAACCAAACCCAGATATATGGATAAAAAAGGCACAAATGCTGCCTAATCTTATAGGAAATCACTTTCCATCTTTCTATGCAGTACACAGAGGTTTTATTTTGTTTGTTTTGTTTTTTAATCCCTTTTCTTGCTCTGTTTGTGAAACCTTGAAGAATGCCTCACCTTGAGGAGGGAACACTGTGAAGATAAGGGCTTTACTTTAGAGGAAGGAGCCCCAGCAGATTAAGGGTACAGAATTATTTTCTTCTAAATGTAGAAGCTAAAAGAAGGCCTTCTTCACAAAAGCATATTTCTGTGAAAAAAATACATATAGCTGGGTGTGGTAGCCCATTCTTAAAATGCCAGTGCTTGGGAGCCTTAGGTAGGTGAACTGCCACAGGTTCACAGTCTTGGCTGTACTGTGAGTTTAGACAAGCCAGAGACCCACTTTAGAAAACAAAAAACAACCAAATAAATAAGAACTCACATGAGAATTAGCACCCTCCCCACAACAACAAAATAAAATATTTGTATATACTGCACAGCATGAGTAACCTGGGTCAGAATGTTAATCCAGGCTGAAAGGATTGAGATGCACAGTGGAGCAGAGGGCATGTCACAGCACTAAGATAAACTCAACTGAGGAAGTAAATTTTGTGCATTCATCTTTGCACCAAGAGAAGAAACATCTTTGCACTATACTTGATATATTTTAAAACATTCACTATTCACTCTGAACCTCATATCCTCTCTGACCTTTGTGATGAGAATTCGGTACTTTTCCACTAAGTGATCGTTGTTATGGCAGCCTGCTAGCAGCTGCCAGACTTCTCCACGAAGAGCTTCCGGGACACCACTTCTCACTAAAGATGACAACTGCTTCGGTCTCACACTCAAGTTGAGATGCCTTAAAAAAAAAAAAAGCCGCAATTCATTACTTCATCAAAGGAATATGCTCTGAAAGAGTATTTAGTGAAAAGAAAATGGTTTACAAAGACATGAGAAGGTAACACATAATAAATAATAAAAGATGAAGCAGTAATATGGCACCTGCAAACCGCTGTCTAAGTATCTTTAAATCATTATCTAAAAAGTAGAAGGTGGTGGCTGCTCACACCTTTAATCCCAGTACTTAGTCACACAAAGAAACATTGTCTCAAAACAACAACAACAAATAATTAGAAAAAAAAAAAAAAAAAAAAAAAAAAAAAGAAAGAAGGAAGGAAAAGAAAGAACTGGAAACTGCAGAGGTACTTTTTGATTGTGGTTTGTGTACAACCTAAGAGAAAAACTCCAATTGGGTGCTGAAGATATACTTAAGTTGCAGCTCTTGCAGAGAGACCCATGTCATCTGGTTCACAAACATCAGTAACTCCAATCCAGTTCTCCCTTCTGCCTAACTCTATCCTGCACACAAGCAGAAAACATACATATACACACACACATGTATGTATACATACATATATATGTATATATGTAGATATACATATATATATATATGAATAAAAATGAATCCTTGAAAAGTTACAACTAATGAGCACATAGAAGAACGGCTTAGCCCTTCAACAGCAGCTATGAACTTCATATTTATACATTCTCAGTATGACAATATTTCAAGTATATTTTCAGCAGGTTTTATGTCTCTTCCTTCAGGAAACATCTCTGGATATCTGTGGTGGCTAAGAACATTCTTACTGCAACAAGACATGTTATTAAAGCCTTGTGTTTAAGGTTTCATCTAAAAGGAACAAAATACAGCCTGTCTCAAAACACTGGCATGATCTCAGTGTTTTGCATATGTCTCTAGTTTACAGATGTACAGAGGACAAGAAAGCCAGTTAGTTCACATAGTCCTAAGTCTTAAGTTACTCCATCCATTATTTCACTATTCCTCTGTGACTGGAGAGCCACCCTTTGTCACTATAGCAGGATCAGTTGAAGCACTGACACAAAGAACTTGTAAAATGTCATAAAAAATATCCGAGACTTCACATCACCTGAATTCCATGAGAACAATGCACAGTGTACTTAAAAAATGCCTGTTACTTGTTTTATGCTTCTATACTATGATGTAAGAGATAAGGGTAGTCTCATATAAACTTTCCTTAAGTGTGTACATATGGAGAGTTGTCAGTAAAAAGCAGTATTAGTCATTCTGCTAATTAAAGGTTTGAAAACACCACAGCCCCTGGGTCAAATACAGCCCTCCATCTCCTTTGCAATTAAACTTTTAATGACACAATTATAAGTACTTTTCTGGTTACTGTTTATGATTGTTTGGATTTTCAATAGCAGAGGTGAGCACTTGTGACAGACTATCATTGGGCCATGATGTCTTAAAATATTTGCTATTTGGTCCTTCACAGAAAAATGTGCTAACCCTAACTTATATTGGTAAAATTTCTTCAGAATGATTTTAGGCATTGACAGTATTAACTCTACATAGAACTAACATACTATTTTATACTAAGGATATCAATGCTCCTATCTTCTAAGAATCATATTCAAATGAACCTGGGAAATGACACATACAGATACTTACTAATACTGTATTAAAATCTACTTTTGTAAATAAACTAGCTTCAGACTTGTTATGTTAAAAAGTGCATATAATTTGGTACTCTGCTTGGCATATGGTAAATGTTTAAACTATGATTACTACAACCATGAACTCTTTTTAAGTTTTAAACAATAGGACTACTAGTAGGTTTTTGTTGTTGTTGTTGTTCTGTATTGCTTTGGAGACCAGGCTGGCCTTGAACTCACAGAGATCCACCTGCCTCTGCCTCTCGAGTACTGGGACTAAAGGTGTGCGCTATCAATGCCTAGTGCAATAGAACTACTAGTAGTTTTACGAACTTCTAGTTTCCATGTTACAGTGCTTACCATCCACAAAACACATAAGACAAAAATAATGAGATGGATGAAACAGAATTGATTATTATATATCTGAAGACATAACTCAAACAAGCAAAAGAAGTTGAGAAAAATCTGATGACAGCAGAAACATATGCAAATACAGTTAATATGGGAGGACACAGATGATTTATGAGTAACAAAGTTTGACGACAAACCAAACTAAGTCATTAAATAAAATGTCCTGGATTCGCAGAATTAAATGAGCTCTCTGCTGGTGTGTTCCAGTATCCTGGTGAGTCCCAGAACTCAGAGGTAGAAGCAGGCAGAACTCTGATCTGAGTTCAAGCCCAGCCTGAGTCTACATAGTGAGTACAAGGACAGCCTGGCTTTAGAGTGGGTTCCAGTGCAGAAAATGAGCTCTTGAGCTCTCAACTATAAATACTGTGGAGATGAATTTAAATATGCTATTATGAAATTATGTCAATATCTATTACAATGCTGGTTTAGACCAGAAACATTTCACATTAATAAAATTTCCACAGCAGCAGTCCATGCATGCTAAGCTCATTGAGCTGAAACTGAAAATGATAGAAGTATCAGAAGTCATGACTCCTGATAGTAAAGAAATACCAAAATTTAAGAAGAAACATTCCCGAGGGGTTTTGCACAATTCATGTATTGTAGGGCACTCATGCTTTGGTTTGCTGTTTCTTCTTTTTTTTTGATTTATTTATTTTTAATCTTATATACATTGTACATAATGCATGGATGTCTATATAACGATGTTGAATCCCCTGGAACTAGAGTTACAGACAGTTATGAGCTGCAATGTGGATGCTGGGAACTGAACCTGGGTCCTCTGAAGAGCAGCTAGTGTTCTTGACCACTAAGCCATCTCTTCAGCTGTTTTCTTCTGTACATATTTGACATTACGCAATAGAGACAGTGTTTTGTCCAAAGTGTAAAGCACTGTGAGAACATCAACATGTGAAGTGCTATGATGGCTTAGGGCTATGACATCTGCTGAGATCCTCAGCCTCCCAAGTGCTGGTATTTAAAGGCATGAGCCACCATGGCCAGCCACATTTATGGTTTTTGTTTTGTTTTGTTTTTGTTTTTAGAGACAGGATTTCTCTGTGTAGCTTTAGAGCCTGTCATGGAACTCTTTTCTGCTACCATCAGTGAATTCTGATCTAACTGGTGTATAGAGGCCACTACCAAGGCATGAAACCAGCCAAGAGCTGTGCTTATGGGGGCATGTGGCATCAGTGTCTTTGCTGCAAAGGTGGGGGGGGGGTCCCTCAGGTGATCTCTATGAGTTCGAGGCCAGAGAAAACCCTGTCTTGAAAAAAAAAAAAAACAAAACCATCAAAAACAAACAAACCAAAAACCTGGCAGCTTACAAATAATATAAAAATAATGGAGAGAGCATGACACCCACATCATGCTTCGGATACTCTGTCGATATGTAACACAAGAAAGAAAAACTCTACCTGAAGTTTCAACTATGTAACACACACACACACACACACACACACACACACACACACACACACACACACACACATACTCTGAAGCATTCAGAATTACATCAATGCTTTTATGTCTCACATTGATATTAATTTTTCCCACACAAATGGCAATGGTTAAACTGCCAGTATCTGATTTCTGTCCTCTATTTTCCTACTTGCCAATTTTTCTGAGATACCTTTAAACTCCATGAGGAAAATTATCCAATATTGCGAATTACCAAGGAAGAGAGGAAAACACATTGTGAAGATGAACTGTCTGCCATCTTAGTGGATTCTTAAGCAAGTTGACCATGTGCATGGCCCGCTAACAGGATGTGTAACTGATAAACATTTGGCCTGGATAACATGCAAGGATGGCATCTTCAAAGGCAAAAACACAGGCCTCACCTGCCTCCTGCACAGTACCAATAGCTACATTTTGGATGCACATATTTGTTTTCAAACCCTAAGGAATTTCTTACACCAGATGCTGTAAGGATGTCTAAATTCTATGACTCATGAGAGCACCTAATTTCAGAGTGTCGTAGAAACGGTCTGTGACCATTATGTTTCATCACCTCTTTAGTAGAGGGCACATTCTTGCAAACAGTTTTGTAGCCACAAGTAGATTTGTGGGGCAGTCTCCTTTGTGCAAGCCATTGTATAGAGACCTCTTTAACTTCTTCAGTTAGAGCTTGGCAAGCAAGAGGCAGCTCTGGCATTAGAGAATGATGGGGCAGCTATAATACAGTTCTGTTGTTATAATCTACTGGTCAGTCATTCCTATCTTTTTCACTGTACAGAACCAACTGATCTCTCCCACTCTACCTATGAATTCCACATCTAGACATCCTATCAATGAGACTTACTATGCTTCTGGTAAGTCTCTGAACTGATTCACATCTCCGCTGTTATCCTTAGGAATGCTTATTAGATTCTAGAATGAGGTCTTATTTGCAGGTTTCTGTTATCAGCTCTAGACTGAGAATTAGGTAATATTTCCTATCCACGAAATGAGTCATGGATGAGATGTAGAGCAATTGTATAACTCACCATTTTGACAATAGCTCTCCCCATGTTTCAAGAATTTTTTCTGCACATTCTTTGGATACATCACCAAATCCACTCAAGAGAGGTTCATCATTATCTGTAATAAGCAAAATTTATGCTTATCAAAAGAACATGGGAATATAATAAGGAAATGTAAACATTAGTATATACTTATATTACTATAAAGTCACAATATATATTCTTAGTATTCATGTACAAATGTGAATAACCCTGCCTGAGGTACAATGCTTTTATATCCTGTTTAATTCAATTTTGCTTTCTATATAGTTTTTTTTTTTAAATATCATTATAGGAAAGAGTCATTTATAAACAACTCAAAAAGTGGAATGCTCCTTTTCAAAAGTAAGTAGAAGTCTTACATACAAACACATGGAAAAGGAAAAAGAACATTAAAAAGGACAAAATGAAGAATTTAAAATTAATTCATTAGAATTTAGAGGGGGCTAGAGAGATGGCACAGCAGTTAAGAACAGTGACTACTCTTCCAGAGAACCTGGATTCAGCTCCCAATACCCATATGGTTACTCACAACCATCTGTAATTCCAATCCCAGGGGAGATCTGTAGCCCTTTTCTGTCCCCCTTGGACATCATGAATGCACATGATGCATAGACATGCACGAAGCAAAATACCCATGCACATTAAAACAAATAATAAAATCAGTTTACTCAATCAAGAATTTATAGAGTATAAAACATGCAGGTGGTAAACAAAGGCTGAGGACATAACTCAGTGACAGACAAGTACACTTAGTATATCTAAGGCCCTGGTTCACACCCCATGCCCAAGATAAGAAAACACAAGATAACAATGGCACATTATCTACTTAATCCTCTTTCTGAGCACTGGAGGGTTTTCAATGCTTTGCTTTCAGCAGTATTAGGATAATATTTCATTACTTTATTGGGCATATGCCTAGAAATGGACTTAAGTTAAAAACACCATTAGTATTTATTATTTAAATTGCCTGACCAACTGTCTTCTCAAGAAGTTGTAATAATTTACATTCTCACTAACTGGTGCAACAATACTTGTCTTCATACATTCTCACCAAGCAAAACTGAGGATAGCATCTATGTGTACCTCTCAAGAGAGTATTACCACAAAGCACCAACTTTAAAAGCTCATAAATCTTTGACACCTATTAATAAACTTCCTATAATGTAACATTTTGGATATTATCATAGTGAGACAAGGGAAAGACAGACTGAATACAAATGAGTTATTTCTGTATGTGAATAATAATGAAGAGAAAAAGCTCAAGACACTAAGGTCAATTTCCCCAAATTCATTAGTATGCCAGAATGACACCAGTTTGTAATTTCTCAATTTCCCACTCATTAAAACATACAACCTGTGATGATGACAAAAAATGGGCTAGGTGTTGCCGATGAGATCTAATCATACAATGAAATCTGTGTACTGTCAACAAAAAAAAAAAAAAATGAGCTAACATTTACATGGAGTTGTAAGTTCTTCAAAAGTAGCAAGAAGATCTATCTTCTATAATTCTCTCCTAGTGCTCCGGACTCTTTCAATAAATCTCAACAGTAATAACATGGGATTTGTCATTACAGTCCCAGGCACACAGGTTAGGGGTCGAGAAAGGGAATGCAAAGTCATTTCAAGTTTTAGAATGTTGTTTTGTAAGTACTGATTTCCTGCCAGACATCCTGTAGATGAGAAACCTCTCAGGAGATTAGTCATTTTTCCCAGGGAGCATTCATCATAATACAACAGGGTTCCTGGTGGGAAAGTTGAATAAAAGATTTTGAGTGGAGAAGGTATGGCCAGGACCTCTGTATTCCAGATGTCCTGTCACTAGTTTCTTGTTAGGGTAATAGTCTTAGGGACTTAACTCATCCTGCCAATATTTTCTGAGTACTCACTGTACACTGGATATTGTATGAAACACTAAGGAAACAAAACAGGGCAAACAGATCTTATTTCTTTGCAGAACTTATGTTCTAGCACCCATTACCTTCCCCATGAGTTTATTAGATGCTATTACTCTTTATTTCTCCCTAGTTAAGAACAATCAGTGAGCTGGATGGTGGTGGTATGTAGGAAGTTAAGGCCTACTAGGCAGAGAGATGAGCCAAAAATGGTACTGTCAGAGGTCCTGATTGTGCCTAGCCAATGAGCAGTAACCACGCGATGTTAACAGACCAAAACAGCTTGGGGCTGGTAGAGTATATAAGGTTCTCCCCACTGCTAAATAAACAGTCTTCTGTTTTTCCTTTCATCTGACTCCTGATGTCTATGTCATTGATGCAGTGAGTTCTCAACCCCTCCCCTAAGGAAGTTGTTAGGACCCAGAAACAGTGGTGCACACCTTCAATCCAAGCACTCGGGAGGCAAAGGTAGACAGAACTTTATGAGTTCCAAGCCAGCTCAGTCTACAGAGTTTGAGGACAGCCAGTGCTATACCGAGAAACCCTGTCTTGGAAAACATCAATAAAATAACTATCAGTAGAGCCTCCTGAATCCACTCAAAAATTTAAAACTTTTTTTTGTCACAGATTAGTATTAATTATATCAGTCCTTATACCATTTAGTTGGGCCAAAATTTCTTTGCAATCAGCAGATATGCCTCAAGCTGTATTGAATGTAGACTCAACATTCTCCTGTCATAAGTCTTTGTTTTTATGCTGAGTTCAATGAGGTTTATGCAGACATTTTCCCTATTCCTCTATTGTAGCTGATGCTGACCTAAAAGAGACACTCAAGTTTTCAGTCTACCAGATATATAGCCAACAATCTCAAACTGTGGGAATATTCCAGTCTCACATGGGGGGGGTGGGGGAAACACATTTGAGGGGCTGGAGAGATGGCTCAACAGTTAAGAGCACTAACTACTCTTCCAGAGGTCCTGGTTTCAAGTCCCATCACCCACATGGTAGCTTAGAACCATTATAACTTCCAGTCCAACTGAATCTGATGCCCTCTTCTAGTGTGCAGATAAATGTAGATAAAACACTCACAGACATTAAATAAATAAATAAGGCCAAAGGAAGGGAGGAAGAAACAGAAAGGAAGGAAGGAAGGAAGGAAGGAAGGAAGGAAGGAAGGAAGAAAAGACAGACAAAAAAACAAACTTGAACTGGTTTGGCAGGCGAATGCCAAACTGCATCTGACTTGGAAAAAAAAAAAAAAATACATGGGACTTTTTTTGCACTTCAATGATTTATGAGAACTAAATGCAGAAGATGAAGATAGACTTCAACTCAAATTTTAAGTGCATGAAATTGATTCAGATTATGATTGTCAATTTCTATCCATGTAGCCTGGAACAAATTTACTTTGCTCTGATTTTACTTCTTAATGTGAGAAATGAGAACAATAATATTTCTATTTTTACACTTACAGTGAGGATTAAGAGAATAAGGCACTTTGCTACCACACAAAAAGCATTTAATTGTTAGGCTTTAATAGTCCTAACAACTTGTGATTAATCACAAGACAGTGGGACTCATATGGACCCCCTCACAAAAAGACTTAAAAAGTCATTGCTTACTCTTAACTTGAAAATGCACATGCAATCATGGGTATTTATATCTTTTAACAAAGTTAATCATTCCTTGCACATCAATATTTTTGTTAATGTGATTTCTTAGCCAGAAATGTTTAGAAAAGTCCATTCATCTCTATTCAGTTTTTGCACTTACAATCCCAGCTCAAAAACTACTCTTTTGATGTCCCACTAACTCCTTACAGTGACAAATGAATTTCTCAGATTCAAATTCAAATGATCATCTATCATCATCAGTTTCATTCATTAAAAACGAAACCCTTGTACTGTTAAGAGCTAGACAACCATTGTGAAATGTTCTCTTTTCCTATGCCAAGACTTCCTCTAGCCTCTACTTCTGTGTATTACCTATAAACAGCGACCAGTAGATTATAAAATCTCATTTTCCCCCAATCCACTTCTGTATATTAACTTTAAATAGTCTCCAGTAGATTATAAAATATCATTTTCCCCAATTTGATTACAAGCACCTTAAAGAATGCCCAATATGGGTAAAGATGCTTGCTGCTATGCTTGGTGACATTAGGGTGATCCCTGCAACCCACAGATTGAAAGGAAAGAACAGATTCCAGTCAAGATGTTCCCGGGCATTACAGGTGCACTGTTGCACAAGTACAAAACACACACAGATACACAAATCAATACTGAGAAACAGAGAGAGAAAGACCAACATCAACTATTTTCCAGCCTCTCCTAGTTGCTATGGAGACTATGTCAGACTCTCACAAGTACTCACTAAATGAATTCCAGTATAACATCCCACTATCAGCACCCATAAAGATGAAGTTACAGCAGTGTGGACAGCCTTCCATTCAACACACAAATCATTCTCTCTACACTTGCCTTCTTCATCATCTTCTTCTGGAGGAGAAGGAATCATGGAGCTCTGAGATCCAGACTGTGGCAGGCGAGCAGAAGGACTGGCTGTAGTTCTCCTCCTCTCTCTCTCTGATTCACTTTCCAAACACACAACTTCATATAAAGTGTCAGCATTATTCTTCCTTTCTTTCTGCTTTATCTTGACAACGAGAGAAAGAATGGGTTATGCAGCAAATTTCTTTAATTATCACTTTTGATTTTGTATTGGATGTAAGAATAAATGGTGTTTTCTTGAGTTCTACACCAAATATAATCTTTATGTTCATTTAACCTCTCCCAAGACTCAGGAGGCAGAGGTAGGTGGACCTCTATGAATTCGAGGCCATCCTGGTCTACAGAACAAATTCCAAGACAGCTAGAGCTACACAGAGAAATCCTGTCCAGAAAAACAACAACAAAAGACTTAAACTTTTTGGTCCTGGAATAATAGTTCACACCTTTGATCCCAGCATGTGGGAATTAGAAGCAAGAGGTCTGTTGAGTTCAAAGCCAGAAAAGGCTACACAGAAGCCTGTCTCAGTCAGATAGACAACCAAACAAAACCTCTTAAGAAAATTGAATACTTTAATTCAGACTCTAGTTTTATAATTTAATTGTCATTAAAATAATCACCAACATCTAATCAATGTGAAAGTTAATGTTCTGTGTCTTTTCAATAGTTTAAGGAGTCTTTTAAGGTTTCCTACGTAAAACCACGTATCAAAACCATTCATAAAACTCAGCACTGAGAAAATCCTTTTCTTCTTTTCATGAATTCAAAAAGTACACAAGAGATTTTCTCAACTCCAAAGCTATAATTCAGGGTGGGAAAAGGACAATGGGTGGGAATGAGTAGTCGAAAAGACAGCAATAAAAATCTCAACAATTTTGCCAAGTGAAATCAACCTACACATTGGTTTTTACTTTTAGGCAAACACTGTAAACAATTTACACAGGCCTAATTAAAAAAATAAGGCACACATATGCAATTCTGTCCATATAATACATATTATGATCACCATACATTCTTATTATTGCCAGTCAGAGGAGAAGAGAAGGTTAACATCAGATATGGAGCACAGGGAGAGGCTGCAAGAGCACAGGAAAGGTAGACAGCAGACAGCAGACAGACTTTGATGATCCCTCATAGATCCTGGGAAGTGGAAGGGGAAAGGGATGGGGGCGTCTGTGGGAGACATGGGAGGATGGGAGGGATAGGGAACTATTACCAAAAAAAAAAAAAAAAAATGCCTATAGCAGAGTGTGCCAAGAAAAGAAAATGAAAGACATATGTACTGGGACCTAGAAGGCAGCCCATCAATTATAGTCTGATAAGAATTTTGTCTTAGCTAGGTGTTGGTGGCACACGCCTTTAATCCCAGCACTTGGGAGGCAGAGGCAGGCAGATCTCAGTGAGTTTGAGGCCAGCTTGGTCTACAGAGCTAGTTCCAGGATAGGCTCCCAAGCAATACAGAGAAACCTTGTCTTGAAAAACAAGAACGAACGAACGAACAAACAAGCAAACAAACAAAGCCAAACCAATAAAAATAAAAACAAACAAATAAGAATTTTGGCTTTTAAAAGAATAAGAAGGGCTAGAGAGATAGCTTAATGGTTAACAGCATTGGCTAGTCTTCCAAAGGACTGGGGTTCAAGTCCTAGCACATACATGGCAACTTAACTTACACCTGTCTGTAAGTCCAGTTCCAGGGGACCTGACACTCTCACAGACATACATGCAGGCAAAAACACTATAAAATAAATAATTTTAAAAAAAGATAAAAAAAAAAAAGTAAATATAAAGGGTTTAGAATAGAAAAAAAATTGTATTATCTGACCTAAAGTAGGTATGTTTAAAACAGACCATAAGGGACAAAGACTGAAATAAAGATAACTAAGAAGCCGTTAGCATATTATAGGTAAAAAATAATGGCAACGAATGAAGCTAACATAATTCAGATACAGAGAAGTGGTCAGATTTTGGATATATCTTAAATAGAATTTTCTTGAAAACTGGATAAGGGGCACAAGTAATAAAAGAGTACAGCATTTAGATTAAGAATAAGTTAGAAAATGGCCATAAGCTGCAACACTAAAGATAAGGAAGTCGAGCATTTGAGGGAGGGTTAAGTCCAAGGTGTCCTAGAAATGAAGTCGTCTTTGCCAAATGCTGCAGAAAAGTAAAAAGAGAGGAGGACTCAGATTAGAAATTTAGGTCAACAGGGACTGTGACATCTTACAAGAAATTTGGCTACACGGGAAAGTATAGGAAGAGAGAGAGGCTGATGGTGTAGGTCAGTGGTAGAGTGTACTTGCTCAACAAGAAGAATAAAGGAGGGAAAAGGAAAAAAAGGGAAGAAGGGAGGAGCGATAATGAAAATGAGAGGGACAGGGATAAGGAAACAGCTGCAATAGCAGAAACAGTATGAAGATATTAAAAGAGGACCAGTGGGGCTGGAGAGATGGCTCAGAAGTTAAGCCCACTCACTGACTGTTCTTCCAGAGGTTCTGAGTTCAATTCCCAGCAACCACATGATGGCTCACAACCATTCGTAATGAGATCTGGTGCCCTCTTCTGGCCTACAGACAGAACATTGTATACATAATAAATAAATATCTTTAAAATAGAGGACCAGTACGTGGTAAAAAAAAAAAAAACAAAAAACAAAAAAACAAAAACAAAAAACAAAAAACAAAACAAAAAAAAAACCAAAAAAACAAAAAAACAAAAAAACAAAAAAAAAAAAACTGAGAGCCAAGGAAGGCTAAAGAACACACCATATTTAAGCTATTACCATCACAGAAAGACAGAACAATTGATTCCTGTCAAAGCTAATGGCCATCTAAGAACAAACAAGAAGGAAAATGATCTTTCTCAAAAGAACACAATGGAATCTAAACTTTTAAATAAGATGAAATTACAATACAGATAAATAAAGAGAAAGACACCACTCTTCATTCCTTAAGGATCATTCAGTGATTTCTAAAGGACTATAGTATGTAATGCTCAGTGTGTCAAAGAAAATCTGTTCAAAAAAGAACAAATAAATTCTTAGGAGAAAATAAAAACCACTAAAAATAAAAACACATCAAAGAACTAGCTGGACATTACAGAAATGAAAAATGTTAAGTTCAAAACTAAAAATAAATAAATAAATAATCCTTGGACAGACATAGTAGTGGACTGAGGAAGATGAAAAGAACCTTACACCCAGTGAAAACACCATATTGAGAGGTGAAATAAAGATGTTTGTATGAAGGCAAGAAGGATAATATGCATGCGAGAGAGGACAATGAATACATATGGAGCCCTGGATCTTCAGGAAAGATAACGTATATCAAATTACAACAGGTGAGCAAAAGTTAAGGGACTATTTTTCCTTTTTAATACATTTAAAAGGCATATGACTGTTTGAAAGACCTAATGACAATGACCTAATGATCAATCTGCCTCAGGTGTGATCCTACTTTCTTACCCCTTTGTACCCTGGGAACAAAGTACCTGCTTCAGTTTCAGAAAGAAGTTTTCAGTAGTGCTGCGTTTGCTGAAGGGCCAAAACAGCCTCTCATTGGGTGAGCAGACTCGAACTTTAGTCTCCAGGAGAAATCGAACAGGCTCCTGTACTTCTGTTATCACCAAATCCACAGCTGTTGTCATGAACAGCACTTTATCTACAGACAGAATGAAATGAGAAAGAAAAAAGATGGAAATGTGTTTGTTCATGTAATCATTGAACAGGTAATTGCTTTTTACTGTAAGTATTCAAGATACTATAATGTCAAACATCAAGATTCTGTAAACAGACATCTAAAATAAAATGTTAGACAAGTAGCTGAAATCTTTCTTTCCACTTAGAACTCTGATCCTAAGTAGGATTCCAGAAGTACAATTAGGTAATGACAGCAGTCTAGCAGAAAGAAATGTACATTTAGACTTTGTCTTCGAAAGTGATATACATCTCCTAAGTCTCCTTCACAAACCCTGTAAATTCTCAAGTTTTAAATTTGGATAACTATGTCTTTTTTAAAAAAGAGGTTGTCACTAAGTTGCCCTGGCTGGCCTCAAACTCAAAGCAATCTGCCTACTGCTACCTCTAGAGTATTGGGATTAAAAGTGTATATCACTACTGCCCAGCTCACATACAAAATTGTAATGAATAAAGGAAAGAAAATTGAAGAGAAGGGAAGGAAAGAAAAATAAATAAGCAAAAGTAATATTGTTTTTAGGTTAAATTTAGAAATAAAGTCAAGATTTATTCAAATTATTTGTTTCACCGAGGTTTCATATAATGTGCATGATAAAGATCTCTATCATCAAGCCAGGGGTGGTGGTTCGTACCTTTAATCCCAGCACTTGGGAGGCAAGGCAAGAGGGTCTCTGTGATTTCAAGGTAAGCCTGGTCTATAGAGCAAGTTCCAGAAAAGCCAGGGTTACAAAAAAGTTCATGTCACCCATGGGCTGGAGTGATGATGAGTCAGTGGTGAAGAGTACTGGCTGCTCTTTTAGAGGAGCTAGGTTTAATTCCCAGCACCCACACTGCAGCCCATACTTATCGCTAACTACAGTATAAAGAGATTTGACTGACATCCTGTCTGATCTCTGTCAGCATCAAGTATGAATGCGTTGTACAGACATGTATATAGCAAAAACACCCATACATGTAAAATAAGTCTGAAGACAACACTCTGCATCACCTTTAGGAGTTTCTTCATTCACAACTTGAAAATGTGGGGATTTGGGATTCCAGCTTCCAGTAATGACATACGACTTTCCATCTGAACTTTTGCCCATAGACTCCTAAAGAAGAGTAAAAATAAACCTTAATCAAAAGTGGGCTAATCCTCATCTTGAGGCTTTTTAAAAACAGGAATTCAATTGCATAATTTTGAAAAGGATTTACTAACTTTTAAGAATTTACTGTATTTTGATATACAACATGGAAGTCTCCAAAATATATACTAAAACCATACAGGAATCTGCAAAAATTTTACATTTCAAGTTACCCAGAACAACCGCTTATGTTAAGTCCACACTCCACACTTTGGGAGAGTTCTATACTAGGGAAGAGGGGGATCCAATGTCTCAAAACCATGAAGATGGATTGATTTGAAAGTGACTTGCCATGCATCAGAACAACCAGTGGTTGCAAATAAGTTTTACTAATTGCAGACAACCTGACTAAAATAGTCTTGAGTACAAGTGAAAAGGCTAACCAACCAAGATATACCCCAAATTAACCAATCACTCCCTGTAACAGCTAGAACTTTGAAGGTGTTTATGAAGCACAAGTGTGGTACCTGTTCTAATTCAAGAGACAAATTATGCCATTTGCCTCTGCAACCATCAACTTAAAAGCTTCCTCAGGATGCCAGCACACTCTTTCCAGAGGAAAGAATAAAATGAGTTGTTTGCCTTCCTTCCAAGTTCATCACTGCAGGTACAGTAATTACTCACTCTGGTAATTGGCTGGCCTTCTCTGGGATGAAACAGCAAACCATTAATGAAATCTGAATGGCCCTCTAAAACCTTATATTCATTTTTATCTTGATGATCTGAAATAAATAAATCTAATTTTCATATTAGCAGCTTGAAGTACAAAATTTGATTAGTGGAAGAAATGATTCAAGTCTAGTTTCTGGATTCCTATGCTATCAATTTTGACTCTAAGGTGACATAATTTATAGTGTTTGGTATTCAATGCTTTCCAAGTCATTTCTTCCTCATGAGATGTATAATATCAATAACTAAATAGGCAAAGCTACTTTGAATATATTCATTTAGATATATTGATTTCTTAGTATCAAAGGCATCATATACTACTACATGCCCAATATGCAGTGCAGGCAGCTTTTCTTGTGGCATCCACTATACAGCAAAGCTCAAAGTACAATAAAATAGCCTTCTATTGAAGAGAGGTGTGAAACAGAGAAGGCATTGATGGAGCCTTGAGTAAAGTTGCTCAAGTATCAGAGTTTTGTTTAAAGGCAAAAGTACATGTGAATGGTTACAGTTAAGATTAAATATATATCAATTATTGCATAACTGTTTCTAAACTTATGCAAGATAAATGCATATAAATCACATGGAAAAAAATGGTTGGAATCTATCTCTCAAATTCTATGCTAAATTCTTCTGTCAACATAATGATCACCAAAACTTTTAGTTTTGCAAATCATTTTCATATAACAGCAATAAAATCTTAACACCTACTTGCATAAACTTTTGTTTGATTTATTTTTTGAAATGAGGTCTTATTGTGTGACTGCCTCAGCATCCCAAGTGCTGAAATTACAGGCATATGCCACCATACACAATTATTCCTGCTTGTAAATAAAGGACAGGACAGTTTGATTCTCCCATTAATCCTACCTGATAAGTAAACAAAAATTATTATCAGCACTATTCATTCAAGGTCAGAATTATAAGTGACATATCAGGAAAAAAGGAAATTCCCTTATATTTGTGTATTGCTTTGTAGCTTAAATGAACACTTACAGAAATATGTTTTGAGTCCAATGTGATAAAGTAAACCAATACATTAAGGAAACAGAAACAGTTTGTAACCTAATAAAAACCAACCACAACCAAAAGAACCCACAACAAAGAACCTTACCAAGTCCAACAAATGCATATCACTATTTCGGACATCTTTTCCTGGGCTAAGGAGAAGACCAAAGCACCTAAACAAAACAAAACAAAACAAAAAAACTGACATAACCTTGTTATAACACATAAGCATACACATATATCTTAAGTTGTATCACCCAAAAATTATTTTCTTATGGGTGGTAAAGGGGCACCCTAATAAATCAGTATTGTTACAATCACCATCTCTACCTGAGCTAGGCAAATTTTGTCTTTTATTATCAGATACTGGAGATTACACTATTAATTGAACACTTATGAAAGTAACTTCAGAGTAACAAGACACTTACTATGATAAGTACAAAAGAATTACCAAAAGCCAGGTGGTAGTGGAACATGCCTCTAAATCCAGCACTTAGAGGCAGAGGCAGAGTCAGGAGATCTCTGTGACTCAAGGCCAGCCTGGTCTACAGAGCTAGTTCCAGGACAGGTAAGGCTACACAGAGAAACCAAAAAGAATTATCAAGAAGTCAAAATACTTGACAAGTGAATTTTAATACAGTGTACAGATAAAAACCAAAGCTCATATTTAAGATAAACATAAAGAGAAATGTTTACCTTTCAATGGCAAGCTCTTTGTTGGCTGTTTGCTGCACACAGATGACGATCTTCTTATCGATACCCTGTCGAAGTTTAAAGCATTGCCTGTCCTTGTCCTTGGGAACAGCACTATAAGGCCAATACATTTCATTAATGTTATCAACAATTTTCTTGTCATATACCATAACAATTATTTTAAAGGCCTTAAATTTCTGATTCTTTTCTGTCTGGGTTACAAGTAATAGCAAAAAAGAAAATAGAGCTGAATATGAATAACAAGATGAAAAAAATGTGACTAATTTTTACTTAATGCCTAACCATGATGAGTTACTGTTCTTAGGTAGTGATTATCTTATAGTATTAATACTAATGCTGTTGTTTTTAAAATAAGATGACTAGATAATAAATGCCAGTCTAAACTCTTATTGCTTTAAATACTAATTTACTGGCAGTGGAACTATTGGTAGATAAAACACATGTGTAACTGAAAATTGGTAAGTACTCATCACTTAAATACTACTTTGGAATGTATTGCATTATATTGTGTATTTGCCAATTCAACATTTTGTTAACATTTTCACTACAAAGCAAAAAATTCTAGCAAAGAACTTTAGAAATGATAAACACGTTCAAAGAAACATTCTGCATTCCAAACTATTAAATATTTCTGGCAGACAGACCTCAGTTTTCAACTGCACTTATACACCTTAGTCTCTTATGGTCTAAGGATGGTTAAGTGTAAACAAATATATTCTCTCTCAGCAATATGAAACACTAATAGGCTGGGTAAGATACAACTCAATATAGAGTGCTTGATATACCCTGCGTTCAGTCTTCAGTGCCACAGATGCCATAACTCAGTACATACAGAGTGTCTCTGAGACCATGGACCTAAAAGTATGCATTATAGGAAGCAGATGGAGAGTACAGTCAGTGGATTTTACTTAACTGAACAACAGAGGCCAAATTGCATTTCTTGTCCTGTGACTATGTTACCCAAATGAGGAATTTTACATTTATTTCCCACTGTAAACCTTATGGAACTAAGATCAAGACTTAGATTTCATCTGTCAGAGTTGCTCAGGTTAAATGAGACCAAGTTAATCAATCAACTAATCAAGCAAGCAACCAACCAACCAAAACTTTGAGTTTCGCAGGGGTGAACTTTTTTTATAAGCTGCTTTGTAATTACAACAATGTAAGACACACACACACACACACACACACACACACACACACACAACACACATATATATTTTTAAATAATGAAACTGGCCACCAGATGGCACGAAAAGTCCAAAGAGATAGCATTTCAGACAAAGCCAGTCAGCTATTGGGTTTTTCACTTAAAAGTAATTATTAAAGATTACATATTTTCCTTATAATTTGATTTTACCCATTTTATGAGGCATCACAGAAGAGGGAGGTCTACACATGCAGCTATTAATTATGACCACTCATGATATGAGTTATGTAAGAAAAAGTCATCTTGCAATCATAACTTTAGACAGAAAGGATTTGAGTTTAGCCACAACATTTTACAAATAAGGAAACTGCAGATAGGAGAGGTAAAGTAACTTCAAAGTGGCCACACTGTTCAAAGTATCAGCAATTAAATCCAAGTTTTGATTGTTATTTCTGGGTGCTTCCTATTACTCAAATTATTTAAAAACCAAATAGCCAGGCATAGTGGCTCACACCTGCAATCTCAGCCCTGGGAAATTTACTACTGTGAATTTGAGGCCAGCCTGAGCTACACTTTGAGTGTGTCTCCCCAACCACACACACCAAAGACAGGTTTTCTCTGATTAATCCTGGCTCCTCTGGAACTTGCTCTGTAGACTAGCCTGCCAGACTGGTCTTGAACTCAGAGATCCACCTGCCTCTGCTTCCCAAATACTGGGATCAAGGCATGTGTCACCACCCCAGTTTACATTTTGAGTTCTAAGGCAGCCTGGGCTATACAGTGAGATCCATTCTCAAAAGATTAATGAATGAATGAATGAATGAATGAAATTAAAACCAAGCTAAAGTTATTTTTAACTTCATATAGAAGGCCAGATTTGGGGAAAAGCCCATATTTCTCCTTCTAATGTGATTAGATAAACTTTAGTGGTAAACCAGATGTCAAAACTATAAGATCTTTAAATAAAAACAAGCCCCCAAATTAAAAAAAAAAAAAAGACAAATTGTGCTAGCTAGTTTTATGCCAACTTGGCACAAGCTAAAGTAATCTGAGGAGGGAAACTTAATTAAGAAAATACCTCCATAAAATCTGGCTGTAAGCAATCCTATAGGACATTTTTTTAGTGACTGAGGAGGAGAGCCCAGGAGCCCAGCTCATTGTGGGTGGGGCCATCCCTGGGCTGGTGGTCCTGGGTTCTATAAGAAAGTGGGGCAAGCCAAGGGGAACAGGCCAGTAAGCAGTGCCCCTCCATGGCCTCAGAATCAGCTCCTCCCTATTTGAATTCCTGTTCTGGTTTCCATCAATGATAAACTGTGATGTGGAAATGTAAGCTGAATAAACCTTTTCCTCTCCAAGTTGCTTTGGTCATGGTATTTCATCACAGCAATAATAAACCTGACTAAGACACAAATTTAGCTATAAATGTAGTCTACTTAGCTTTGGCCATAATTCTTACCATCAGTTACCCAGCCATTTTGACTAAGACAATATAGTAACAGGTACTCCACAAGTTGAATTTTTAAAAATTCTTTAAGACACTTTAAACATCGACACTATAAATCTATCTTTTCCCTCTTTATCACTATCACTGACTTATTCCTTGTAGAAATAACTTCAAGTATGAGAGGTTTCTAATCTGACCTAGTTACTTCTGTACCACAGATAATAATGTACTAAACAAATTCACAAAATAAATAACGTAAGATGCTCTACCTAAAATAACCTTTACCATCATCTTCTTTTATTTCTAAAGACACAGAGAAGGTAAAGATGTCACTGTCAGGAGTCTGCGGCGTGGCAGTGGCTGAGAGTGGGGTCTGCTTGGCAGTACGGCGGAAGGCAGTGGCAAAACTGTAAAGTATCCGGCTTACCTACAAGCAGACATGTCAGGAAATTGGCTATTATTAGACTGCCTGAAACAGAGTACCAGGTGAACCTACATTCAAAACAGCTGGACAAAGCAGCCTTGCAGACTACAGCCAGGATTTCTGCATCTTCTTAGAATCCCCCATGACAGCGCCCCTTACTAGCAGGAAGTAGTTTGGAAAGAACGACACCCAAATTCCCAAATATTGTCTATAAATGTTTGTTTTCATTTAAATGGAATTGGTTATAAAAAATAAATTAAAAAAAAAAAAAAAGAAAGAAAAAAGAAAACACTGTCTTCCACCACTGACTCACAAAAGCATTTTCTACATAATGTCCTTTACATGAAATAAGCAAAATCAAGTCTTGGGGATATGGCTCAGAATGGCAGTTGTGTTTTTTGGGAGGAGCAGGAAAGATGACAGGGGATGGGACACTGAAGGCTGGGCATGCTCTGTATTTTGATCTGAGAAGTAATAGAAGAGGTCTGCACTTAATATAAAGTCATTCTGGGGATGAGTGAGATGAGAAGCAAGTGAAGGTGTAGAGCTAGATACCAGAAGCCCTGGAAGGGACCACTGCCACAAAGTTGCTGAGTGAACTCCATTCCCCCCCAACATGTACACAAACATGCAATCGTAATATATAAAAAGTAAATGGAAATTACTTTTATTGAGGATAAATATTTATTTACTTGGGAGAAGGTAATTACTTGTCTTTCCCTTACCCACTTTTTGTTTTCAGTTAATTATCTAATTTGTTAGGTTTCTAAAAATCATCAGAGAGGGATTAAAAAAGATATAGTTTAAAAAATACACAATTTAAAAAACATTAACTTAAAAAGAAAATCACTTCCTGTATGTTAGATTCTATACTTTTAGTAACAAGCATGGCTCTAACAAGTTTAGGATCCACTCAGAATAGAACAGCTTGCATCTGTGTCACTGTTAGGGTAAGAATGTGGCTCTAATCCAATCAACAGATTACCAACAGGCCTCTTAAAACAATGCATGTGCAAGTACATGGGTGTCCTCACTGGGGTGTATACATAGGTCAGAGGTTGCAACTAGGTGTCTGTATCTATTATTCTCTCTCTCTCTGTTTTGTTTTTTAAGACAGGGTTGCTGTGTGTAGCCTGGAACTACTCTGTAGACCAGGCTGGTCTTGAACTCACAGAAATTGGACTGCCTCTGCCTCTTGAGTGCTGGGATTAAAGGTGCGTACCACCACCTCTTGACATTATTCTCTATATTTGAAAAAGTGTCCTTCAGTGAATCTGAAAGTGACTGTTTAGACTAGAATGGTTAGCCATGAAGCTCCATATCCACCTATACTGGGGATGGGATTCAGGTCCTCATGATTATGGAACAAGCACTCTACCCACTGACAATCTCCCTGTCCTGTGGAACTTGCAGCAACAAAGACAGTGGTGAAATCTCATTTGTAGTTCTCTCCTAAAAACTTACAGCCTCTTGTATTTCACAGCGAAAGACATGTATCCTGAAGAGCTCCGCATTATAGTGACTTTCAGTGAATGCAAAACAGTCACTCTCAGGAGTCCCATCATGCCCTCTGACACAGAAGAGGATCTTGTAGATAGGGTAGTTTGCTATTTCAGTATTGGTCTGGGGATCTAAAAGCCTGTTCAGACAAAAAAGAAAAGCAGAGATTAATTTTAAGTAACTTGTACTGTATTTATATTAGGACTCAAGACATCTGTCCAGAAAGATGATCGTGTAAGCTTCTTGTAGTATGCTAGCCATGCTAATTTTGAATTGTGATATGTAAGTCACATGTGAATGTCAACAGTACTGATCACATAATTCCATGGTACTCAATCTACACAGATGTAATGTTTGGGAGAGGCCTATAGAAAAGTATCAACATTAGCAACCATTACTATTATAACCTGTAACTAAAATAAAAACAAAATCAGTACATAAATTAAGACTAACTAAACAGACTGTGAAACTTCTACAGCTGGCTATCTTCTTAAAATAATTTTCTGTTTATAAAGGAAATAAAATTAAAGTGCATGACTGAGCACAAAAATTGTGTTTTAAAAACCACACATTAAATCTAAGGGATGATAGTTAATGCAAATCAAAAGAACATTAATCAAATCTACTCACTCCAACATGTACTTATGTGATAGCTACAATAGTCTAGACTCTGTTAGGGCACTAAAGACACAGTTATGTAAGGTCAAGAAGAAACTATGCAATTTCTATACTGCAGGGCAAAGCCGTCAACGGGAAAATGTCCTTGGAGCCCTGTACAAAATGGAGGAATCCAAAAGGGGCTGTAACTCAGATTAAACACACTTTCACAAAGGCTCTGGGAATATGCAGCAACAAAGATATTTTCTCATTTCCTTACAGAAGGTCAAAGTATAATTTCAGTTGTTAGAATAAGCATACATTTTAAAATGCACAGTAAAAGTCATCAGAATTAAATTAGAAGTTATGACTTTGAAATTGATGCTGAAATACATTATGCTTCCGATTAACTATGCAACTTCCTACTTTTCAGATGTAGCTGCTATGCTGCTACTATGAAAACCCAGCATGTTTTGAAGGGTACTGAAAAACACAGAAACCACTGATCAGAGTATAAACTAGATCAAGTATTTCTAAACTCAACAGAAGCAGTAACAATGGGGAGATGTTTGAGCAAGCCTAAAGAAATAAGTATCGAGTGAATTACCCATCCATTTATAATGCAAATGCCTATCAGTAACTGGTAATATTATTAGTACTTTTCTCATTAAAGAAAAACTTCTTAAAACAGACATTAGAAATAGTTGGGCTGGAGAGATGGCTCAGTGCTTAAGAGCACTGGCTGCTTTTCCAGAGGACCTGGGTGCAATTCCCACCTGTAGCTCACAAGTGCCTATAACTCCAACAACTTTATACAGACATACATGCAGGCAAAATACCAATACACATAAATTTTAAAAAAAGAAATGGTCATTAATATGCTTATGAACCATCATAAATAAAACTTAAGCAAATGTACGGACATGGTAAAAGGTTTACAATATAAAACTAAATGAAGAAAGTATAATACACATTATATGTAATTAATTCCACTGTCAGCAAAAATGTTGACTAATATAGTAGTTATATATGTATGTATATGTAGATTTATTAGCATATACACAGACACACACCCATATATACCATATGATTTTAGTGTGAACTATCTTCCCAGCTTCGTGCACTGAAAGCTGCTGGTGCTACTTCAGAAGGAGGTAGACCCTTTGGACAGCAGGACACAGCTAAAGGAAATAGGTCACTGGGACATGCCTATCTTTCCTCTCCACTTGTTTTGTTTCTTTCTACTTAAGCACTGCCATGAAGTCAGAAGCTTTCCTCCTGCAAGGCCTTTTGCTGTGATATATTACTTTACTAGCCTAGAGACACTAAGCAGCTGACCTTGGACTAAAGCCTCTGAAACTACTTGCTAAAATGAACACTTCTTTTTAATCATTTCTCTAGGGTTCTGTTACTAGAACACAACAGTGAGCACACATAAATACTCAAAGAGTTTGGTTTTTATGCATGTGACTACATGTGGAGATAAGACAACCTCAGTACTGTTGCTCAGGACATATTTATACTGGGTATGACACACATGACACACATAACACACATGACACACACACACACACACACACACACACACACACAGACTGACTAGTGAGCCTCAGGAATCCACCTGTCTCTCTCCAGCACTGGGATTATAAGGAAATGTCATAATGCTTTGAATTCATATACTTGTGATAACACAGCTATTTCCTCAGCCATTATAAAGAGTATAGCTGAGCCAAGACTTTAACTGCTTATCAACAGGAAAATAAAACTGGTTTTTTGGTTCATGCTTTTTATGAAAATAGCATATTTTCTTAATTAGCAATTCTGTATTTAACTGGTTGATACCAATCATCTGATTTGGTTATCTTTATTTCTTTAAGTTAGTATAAACAATACCCATTTCTAGGGCTTCTCTGGACCTCTAATTTCTTATTTTAAAAAGAAGGGAAATAAAAAATGGAAAATCTTTCTTTCATGGTCAGTATATGTTTCAATTATTCCCAAACTACTTAAATCTCTAGTGTTCTATACAGGATCAGGATGTGGGGCATGTATGAGCATTCGTTTACCAAAGGGTTGCAATTCAAGGATATTACCTACTGGTGCTTCCTCATGCAATTGTATGTCAGAGGCCAGACTTACCTCACAGTTCCTTCAGAAACATTCGGCACTGAGAGGGTTACATCCAGAGAAATCTGACACTGACTTCTCAAGATGGACATCATCCTCAAGGCTTCCACTTCACTCCGGGGAGCATTTACTGAGGCACAGCCTAAGTAAGTTAGTTTACTGAAAACCACACTATCCTCATCAGCCACTGGTGTGAAAGGACTTGACACCTCAGAATCTGAAAGAAACAAAACACGATATTATGCTTCTTTTCTTTTTAAATAGTCTTGATGTGAAAGCAAATAAACTAAAAGACACTTAGGTTAAAAACTCAAGAACTAATTAAGGCAGCATGCAATATTCTAGGAAGCAAAAGAACAACGACAATAACAACAAAAAACCCACAGCACATTGATTCTAGCTTACCCTAGAATTCTAATCCCAAGATTTTTCAGGTATCAGTGTTAATTCTAAACCAAAAATATAACCTGAGATTCAGATCGGATTCCTGTTTCAGTACCCTAATTTGTTCTGATTTTTATAATTTACATCAAGCTGAATATATTTTTAGTATCTGATTTGTCTTCACACGGCAACTAGCTCCTTTAACATCCCTGCTTTCAGTCTAATAGACTGCCCTTCTAGATGAGCTTTCATAACTGCTCTGGCTCTTCAGGCCCTAGGCTCCCTTCCCAATTTCAGCTTGCTCTCTTGACAGGTTATGTAGGCCCGGAGCAAACATCTATTTTCTAACATCAAAATCAGTTTTCCTTCCTGAAAAACTTTGGCTGTTTCTGATTTTCTGAAAAACATTTTTATACTAACGGCTGGCTTTGATGCTATCACAAATTTCCTGAAAACTTTTTAAGCCATCTGAGAAAAAGACAGACATTCTTCTCAGTATCCTGTAACTAGTGTTTTTCATTCTTTGGCATAACAGAAAAACAGTTAAAGGAAAGCTCAGAATGACATATGTATCTGACAACTTCTTAGATCTAGCATTTGGAGCTTTTAGAGAACTTACAATGGTTTTCATGTTGCTCTTGAATCTAGTACAGGGCAGAAAACACTCAAGCATTAAAAATAACAACCTTCAGCTACACAAGCAATATAGCAATCCTAACCTCCTTGTCCAGGTTTCACTGGCAAACTCATTTCTGGTTTCTGAAGCCCAACTAGTGGCACAGGGTTAATGGTGGACGAAGCTGAGAGTTGATTAGAAAGAGGCCCATCTCCTTCACCATCCAGCTGTGACCTTTCCCCTGGCTGGTCATCCATGGGAGGGTCCATCAGCACGTCTGCAAGCTCTTTCTGCAATTGCTGCTCACTTCCATTCCCTACAATCTAAGGGTCACAAATACACACAGTCAGAAAGTGAGAGGCCAGCACTGAGTCAAGCGGGTTCATGTTCTGAAGCAAAGTATCAGTAAAGATGTTATGTTGGATATCACTCTTAAATAGATGATCAGCAACAAATAAAGGCTATAGCTGTTACCTTTTTTCAGTTTTCCATGAAAAAATACACAATGAATCTAAAACTATTCAGAAATGGGTGACAACATGGAAATATTAATGTTTTCTTTCTGTTTAACAGGTTTTAATAAGGAAAATTGTGTTTGCTTCCAAGCATTATAATGCCTTCAAAGAAATGTGAAATACAGTAAAATCTCACATACATTTTATGGTTCCTCCTATAAACAAGTTTCCTTAATTTCTGGGTAAGTTTCCTTTATTTATTTGATATGAACTGGCCTTTAAAGCGCTGAGACATGTGAGTAAAGCTGACAGCATGAGTATGTCAGTCCTGAGACAGGAAAGGACTGTATTCTAATGACTTACTTTATCTTTTCTATTTATTTTGTTTGTTTTTTTGCTAAGTTATACACCAGGCCATATAATGGTTTATCATTAGTTGCTCATAAAAGGAAGTGAACAAATTGAAAAATCAAGAAAGACTGTTCAATGCTTAAAAAAAAAAAAGCTAACAAAACTAAGTAATTGTTACTGTTTACTCAAGAATATTTTTAAAAAATAATTTAGAAAAAAGTTAAAAGGGCTTTATGGGGTATTTCAATACTGTTACAACATTTATGCTTATACTTTTTAGTTCTGGAATTTTCAGCTAGCTCCTTAAATATAATCTATCTGCTTATGGATGGTTTTGCCTGAATGCCTGTCTGGTCCTGGTGGAGGTCAGAAGAAGTTGGCAGGGTCCCCGGAATTAAAGTTACAGAAAGCTGTGAGCCACTATATGGGTGCTAACCCATCTTTCCAGTCCTCCTTATTGATTATGTCTACAGTATTTGATATCATTGTCATGTATACATCTATTCTGTAAGTATGATATTGTAAATTTGTTGGATATAGCAATAAAGAATATTTTGAAATGCTTAATTTTTTTTTTTTTTTCTTTCTTTCTTTAAGACAAGGTTTGTCTGTATAGCTCTGGCTGCCCTGGAAATGCTTCATGTGTTAAATTCAATGGTCACTGATTAGTAATTTTTGTTGTCTGTTTTTTTCTTTTCATTGCATGGACAATATTTTGTTTCTGTATGTACCATAATTTGTTTTTGCTGGAAACTAGACACTGTAGACAATATGCTGTACTGACTCCAGACCCGGATGGCACCACTCAGGGCTTCTTACTACTGATATTTGTTGACAAAAGAGCTGTTTTATGGCTGGCAGTTCCCTACAGGCAAAGATCTGTAGGGATCTGGAGCTAGGAGTGGGGTCAATGACCTTCTTGAACCCCGTTTTCTTTCTTTGTTTCATGCATTATGTTTTGACCACAACCTTTTACCCTGTCTCTTATTTCCCCAGGTCATCTTCATAATTACAGCAGACTGTAGAGTGGAATGGTCGTCATCCCAGGTAAGAGGGAAGAACAAGAAGGAGACACATATGAGAGATTTTCACCATAGTTTCATGATTAACAGTTTTCATTTGCTGCATTTCTTTTCAAAGATTTCCAGGGACTTTGATGCTATTTTTTATTTTTGACTTAAAAATTGTAACCAGTGTTTCTGGGAGGAGGTCATGGTATTACACTGGACATCATTCTTAGCCAGTTAGATTTTTAATATATAAATTAGATCATGTTCCCATTCAAAACTTTCAAAATTCTCTTCACATTTAGAACACTGTCCAAATTTGCTACCAAGCTCCAAAAGAAACAAGCATATTGTGGCTCTGTCCTCCCTCAGATAATATTGCTCCCATTTTACTTTGCTGGCTTTGGGGAGCCTCTGCCCTCAGTGTCTCTGTATCTGGTTCTGCCTTTGGAAAGTTTCCCCGGTCTTCTCCATGATTTTCTTCTCTCCATTCAGGGTTTACTTCAAATGCAGTTTTTTTTTTTTTTTTTTCTCCTTTCCTTAAAAAAAAAAAATTCTATTTAAAAAAAAAAAATCTTGGGGATTGAATCCAATGTCATGTACATACTAAGAAGGTGTTCTACATTTCCCAGCCCCTCAATACCTCTCGGTAAAATTTTTAAATATTTTGTTTTTAATATATATGTACATCTGTACAAATGCATGATACATTTGTGCAGATACCCACAGAAGCCAGAAGAGAATAAGATACCCTAGAACTAGAGTTATTTTAACTGTCTTATTTATTCCCTTATGTATTTACAAGTGATATAATAAGAATATTTTAAAGCACTGGGGAGATGGCTAAGCCAGCAAAGGAAATTGCTTTATTTGCTGGGTTTGATTCCTAGGACTCTCATGTTGTAAGTAAAGAACCAATCCCATGAGTTGTCTTCTGACTCTCCATAACATGTCATGGACGTGCTTGGCCATTAGCACACAAACACACAAAAACAGTTTTAAAAGAATTTTTAAAAAATTTGATGAAAGTTTATAATAGTTAAAAAAAACAGCCATAAAATCTCTCATTCCTTACTCACATATCCTTTATTTTCTTAACACATTTATATGATTTTTAAATAATTGGTTTTAAAAACACTTTCCCATATAGTAAAGAATGGTCCCAACTTATTGTTCAGCAGAAGACAGCCTCTAACTATCAATCCTCCTAACTCTACCACCAAGTGTTCAGAATAATTGCCAACACCCCTGTTTTTATATGGTACTGGAAATCAAGCCTGGAACTTCTTGCATGCTAGGCAAACACACTACCAACTAAGCCATAACCCCAGCCCTTGCTGTCACATTACTTTCTTATTTGTTTGTATTCTTCCCCCATTAGAATGCAGGATTTAGGAAGGCAGGGGTTGCTCATCATCACATTACCAGTATTTGGTACACAGAGTTTTGAAAAGGTATTTGCTGAATGACATAGTAGAACCTGGAATATAGGAATTACTTATATTTTAAATGAAAAACCTAAACAAATAATTCCATTTATATCCATGAACAGTAACGGAGCACTGAAAGAAGTTCAGAATTTAGTTGAGAAAAGAAAACAGAATGGTAAAGCTGTTTTTGTAAGCCTCTGGAAGAACAGCCAGTGAGTATTAATTTAAAATATTCTTATTATATCACTTGTAAATACATAAGGAAATAAATAAGACAGTTAAAAATAACTCTTATGTGCTGAGTCATCTCTCCATCCCCAAAATGTTATTTTTTATGAATGGCAATGCTAACTAACCTATTGGTGTCCTTACACTGTACACTCAAGCCTGAAAGAAATAGGCATTCTGATTGAATAGACAAAAGAGAACAATCCTAAAGATAGAAATGTTTATACCCTATGAGTTTTGAAAAATTTATGAGAAGCTAATTAAAATAAAAATCCTTAAAATAATAAATAACTCATTAAGTATACACAAAATTCTTCCACATCACTGAGAAGTAGACCTATGAGTTTTCTGTTCTCCTCTCCTTACTCTTTTTCCCATTGAGTCCAAGCTGCGCAATGTATTTAGAAAACCACACTTGGGCTGTCAGACTTTACCTTGAGTCCAGTCTTCTCGTCATCACTTCCATTATTTGTAGATGGTGTCTCATCTCCTTGCCTGGAAACCAAGACAAAATCTTCACTGTTAAGAGTAGATACTGAGTCTGAGGAGACACTGATTTTTCCAACAGAAGCTTTGTCATCCATAACTCAAGAATGAGGCTCAACTCATGAATGGTTAAATATTTTTTAAATACCTGAAAAACAAAAACCATAGAGTCATATAAAATGTACACCTGATATTCACTTATGCCCTTAAAAAAAAAAAAAAAGTAAAAACAAGTCAAAAAGAAACCTTTTTTTTTTTTTTTTAAAGTTTGTAAAATACTTTTATAATATACCTGCTACTTGTAATTTAGGCTTTTCACTCTGATAAGGGCATTCTATGCTATTCGGGTGAAGATATTTCAGATTCCAAATAAATAAGACACTCCCTTTACAATAACTCCACCGACTTACAGCGCTGCCTTTGGCACATAATACAACTGAGGCCTTGGCTTCAAAAAGCAAAGAGGAACTCAATAGTACTTTGGCCTTTAATTTTTAATGCTTTACACATAAATAAAGTTAGAACACTTGGGTTATTGTGAAAGTTAATAACTATATTTCCCTACAGTCAATATTAAATTGACTGAAATATGAAATTTTAAATTATTAAATTCTAAATACTAATATATCAATATTAAAATTTAAAATACTATGATGGTTCTGGCAAAAACAATTCCACATTAATACACAACAGAGATAAATTCAAGGCAGGGAAAGCAGAAATTCTACAGCTTGGAAATCTATTAAAAACTCAATCCTCCCCAACACCTTAAAAGGTCAGCCTGGACTACACAGTGAGTTCCAGGACAGCAAGCATGCAAGAGAAACCATGTTTTGAAAAAACAAAATGAAAAACAAAACACAACAAAATAAATTTTAAAAAAAAGTAAAACTATAGTTCTATGTTTATCACATCAATAAAGCTAATAGTCTAATCTTTCCAACTCAATCTTGACTTAGGATTTTTTTTTGAGACTATTATTTTGTGCCTACTGACTATTTTTCCTGAACATGTATATAAGCATACCACATATGTGCAGTACCCAACGAGGCCAGGAAAGGTCTTCACTCTCTAGCCCAGTGGTTCTCAATCTTCCTAATGCTGCAACCCTCTAATACAGTTCTCTATATTGTGGTGACCCCCAACCATAAAATTACTTTCATTGCCACTTCATAACTGTAATTTTGCTATTGTTATAAATCTTAATGTAAATTCCTGTGTTTTCTCATGGTCTTAGGTGGCCCCTGTGAAAAGGGTTGTGAGGCGACCCACAGGTTGAGAACTGCTGCTCTAGATTCTCTCTGGTAATTCATTCCCTAGTTACAGACTTTCTAAATGTTACATATGATCCTATAGCAAATTCTTCACTACCTTCTTCAAAATCTCTGCTAATTCCTGAAAGGCTGGTGGGATGGCTCCATGGATAAAGGTACTTGCTTCCAAACCTGAGTACTTGGGTTTGGTACCTCAGGAATTCACACGATGAAAGGAGAACAGACCCTAGTCCTCTGGCTTCCCTATACATTCACAAAGTAAGTAGATATATAAACAATTTTTTTTTTTTTTTTTTAAAGTAGGACTGTCTGGAGGCTGGAGAGATGGCCCAGAGTAACTACTGAGAGCCCTGACTGCTATTCCAGAGGAACTGAATTTGATTCCCAACACCCATTCAGTGGCTCAGAACCATCTTTAACTTCAGTTTCAGGGGATTTGATGCTCTTTTCTGGTCTCTATAGGTACCAGGCATGTACATGGTACACAGACATGCATGCAAACAAAACATCAATACACACAAAATAATGACTTTCCCTTTGGCATGTTTAATTTTGATGTTTAATAGACAATCTTGAAGGAGTAGGAAGAGAAGTGTACATAAAACAATTCTCTTAAGTGAGTTGATTAGCTGGATACTGAAATGCTGATACTGAAAATACAAAAAGTAGAAATGGTCTTCTTATATTCCTATGGCTACTTCAGGACACAGTACTTTTTCATTCCTCTAGAACTCTATGCTGGCTTCATGCCATTTCAAAGAAGTACCTCTAAAACTAAGTATTTAAATTGTTATTTCAAAGCCCCTTTCATAATAAAAACTACCAGGAACATAGGAAAATTAGCTTAACATTAACAAACTACTACTGCTTTTTATCAAGGCCATTTTATTCTTCTGACTCCTCCTAGCACATTTTTTAAAATGTATTCATTTTTTTTCTGAACAGATTTCAGAAGCATGATATAATTTACATTAGCATTTGTGTGAATATAAAAATATGAATGCTTTAAGGCGCTGTATGATCTTTCAAAGACTGTTTTCATCCTTTTAGGAAGTTAGTCAACATAATTCCTTCCCATGCATAGTTAAGAAATATGAACCTATTCCATTTAGAATATTCACATGCTGTACTTGAGATCTGAAACATCAAATTATGCATTCCCCTTTAAACTCTGAATTTAATGTCAAGCAAACAAGTCATTCAGTAGAAAACTAAAACCTAGGAGAAATGTAGTAGTAGTTTCTGTTTTATATAACTTGTTTGTTTTTCAGAGGAATATGCTGAGAACAGACCAAAATGTTTGATGGTGGTCTAGTCTTTACTGACAAACAAATGGAAGGATACTGGGAAGTGTATAAAAGCACATGGAAAGACAATTCATTAGCATCTTAAATTACTGTAATAGGCATTTGTGCAAGAAGATACAAAAATCACAAATATTTAAAATCCACAGATGCTTTAAATCTATCTGAAAAAAACATTTCTTAAAGCTAAAACCCAAATCAAAATTTTTAAACATAGGACTGGTTTATTAGCTTTTTGAGGCCAAACAGAAATCAGTTTTTGCTGTGTTTTGAGACAGGGTTTCTCTGTGTAGCTATGGCTATCCTAGAACTCACTCTGTAGACCAGGCTGGCCTCTAACTCACTCTGCCTCTGTCTCCTGAGTGCATATTAAAGGCATGTGCCACCCCCAAACCTCCAATCAGCTTTTATTTGAATACACAGGGGATGTAACAGGTAACTTACAGAAATAATTTTTCTTCTCCAAGTAATCAGTAGTCTGGACACAGAAAATCCTATCTCACAGCAAGAGATTTATTTATATGACATATCCCCACTCTCTATTGCCAGAAACAGCTCATTCATCAGGCATAGAGCTCATTATAAACATATTAAAATCACTGGCTATTTCCATCAATATTTTACATATACTAAATTTAATCCAATTTAAATGTGAATTCATTTACTATACTTCAAACATTTACAGTCAAGTTGCATATAGTGGCTCAGCCTTTAACCCTAGCACTTGGGAGGCAGGTAGATCTCTGAGTTCAAGGCCAGCCTGATTTACCTACTAGGTTCTAGGACAGTCTCAAAACAACATTCTCAGTCTGCATAATAGAAAGGGAGGTCAGCCTCCCAGAATTGGTACAGGACATATCCAGACATCAAATTCTCAGCACCAAGGAGATATATTATCTAGGAGGGATAAGAGGGGTGGAGGAGAAGGCTGCAAAGGCAGTGGCAGCACCAGAAGCAGCAGCAACTAAGCAGGAAAACAAGAGAGCAAGAGAAGCAAGAGAGCAAGAGAAGAAAACAAGAGAAACAAGAGAAACAAGAAAACAAGGGAGCAAGAGAAGGAAGCAAGAGAGCAAAAAAGAGGGTGTTTTTGCAGTAGTGGGCTTTTAAGGGGAAAAGGGGGTCTCTGTGCTAGGATGAGCTGGTAATGTTAGCCAAATAATGAATTTTGATATTTGGAGCCTGGTGGTTTGTCTCAGGAATGAGTCATGGCCAAATAAGGGACAGGCCTTGGGGGCTAGCTTTAGGAAGCAAGGGAAAGGACAAAAGGGTAAACAGAACAAAGCCTATCTGCAGCATTTGCCGTGCTCAGGCCTGTGAGAGCCCTTCAATAACACTTCTTTTAAGTGATTGAAAGACTAACCCTTACAAGAAGTAGATCCAGACTGTACACTGTGAACTGTAACTACAAAAATGGACAATGGAAAATGGGAAGAGAAGGTTCAAAGACAAATTATGGTTAAACTTTTGAGTGACAATGTTAAATTTACCATAGAAACTTATAGTTGACACACCATAAAAAGTACAACACAAGCATTTCTGTACTTCCAGCAGTTAAGAGAAAGGTCACTAGCCCAGGCTACCATAGCCTCAAAACAAACAAACAAACAAACAAACAAACCCAAAAGAGTTACTGCCACAAAGATTTACAGAACCCAAGGACTAGTGCCTTATGATGTGCTGATCTGATACAGCTTTAACCAGAAATTCTTCACAATTATGCATTGAGTTCTTGGGGAAGTATAAACCTCTAAATTTGGCAGCATAGTGTTGTTAGTTATGGCCTTAGCCAAAACTGGGTGTACCAACGTTGCTGTGAGACTTTGGGTGACTGTCCAGTTACTCTGCTGTTTCTGCCCTCGCTGTACCTTTTGGAAGTTGCCCATCCGCACTTCCTGTCTACCCTAGTATCGTTATTTTCCTTCTCAGGTCTTGATGAAGTTGGAGATTAAACTATCACAATTATTATCTCTTCCTAGTTGGATATGATAGGTACTAGACTTAAGTTTTCCAGCTTAGGACGACTCTATTGTAAACTCCGTTATGCCTTCACTCTAGGTCTAGAGCACACTTGTTATTCAATGTTTTGTATATAGTTTTGTATCAAGCCTAAATCATTTCTTTAGACTAAAAGAGGAATTGTAGTGGGATATTCACTTTGTCTCCTTCTGTGGCACTGACCGTGCCCATTGGGGGTGGAGCCAGGGGCGGAAGTGACCTGTGAAACTAGGTCTGAGGAGGAAGGGGGGGCACTCTCTTGCTTGCAGCACAGGGACAGGAGCACTTCTGGAGGCATCCTTGGGACCAGGAACCTGCTGGTGTTCACCTGTCTATGTTGTGAGTTATTTCTCCCTGAATAAACATCTGTTCGGCCTAATTGTTTATCCAGATCCTTATTAAACATCAATATCATAGTCCAACAATTGAAATCTTTTTTCATATTTTACTGTCAGTCATGAATTTAAAAGACAGAATAAGGGTCTTTTACTTTTTAATGACTGAAAGAAGGGATGGGAATACTTGGGCCTTACAAAACTCTACTCTGAAAGAGTACTGGTCAACTTCAAAGAGA